ATATTAAGGTAATGGACCACCTGGAGGAAATAGGGTGTAAGAAATCCTCAAGGTACTCTCTAGTTGTAAAACATAAGGCTACTTATGTAATATGAGACTCTGGTTGAAACACCTGTCTCCTTCCACATCTCATTCTAAAGGCCAGGAAATTCAGGATTATAGCTGAAATCCAAACTCCATAAGCACCATTGTGGGGGATTAAATGGCATAATGGTAAAAATTAAAATTGCCTTTTTTCTGAATTAGGCATTTTCAGGGTTTTCTCTCTGACTCCTGGAGTTTCATGATGTCCATTATGGGACCTGGGGAAATCCAACTTGAGCATTGAGGAAGTAAAGAGGGTTTGTAATATTTAAGTATGCACGAATCAAGTACTTACAATTTGCTGGTTTAGGGGTTCTTATTTTTATGCAAAAAGGAATGTGAATGGGAGGTGAGGAATAGGGAGAGGGGAGGAAGCTGATGGTGTTTGGTTCCCCCCACAGGAAGTGCTGCTGTTTCCTGCTATGAAACCTGAAGACAATAAGAAGGAGGTCGAGCCCAGTCCTTCTGCTGAAGGCACCTCAGTGTGAGAGGCTGCTGATCCTTGCCTATGTCCGGTTGGGAGGAAGATGTTTGCTTTGTCTTCAGTAATGACGGGTCGTGGCCAAAGGTTGCTCCTGCCTTGAGGAGACCAGTGAAAGTTGCTGTATCATGGATCCTGTAAATGAATAAAAGCCGGCACTATCCTGCCTCCTCTTGCTTGGTGTTTGTGTGGAAGGTGGTGGGGTGGCAGCAGCTGTGCCTAATCCAGGGTTTTACCTGCCTGCATGCAGCCAGGTTTGGACTTAATGGGATGGAGCATGTGGTTTGAAGGGGTTCCTTCCACCTGTGACAGGTCTGCAGATCCCTGTCCTGCAGGATCAGGTGGGAGCTCAACCTCGGTTCCAGCCTGATAGAGCTGCAGTCCCATGGCTTGCTAGGAACCGGCACTGGGCTGGGAGGTACAGGGCCGGATTAACCTTTTGTGGGACCGGCACCAAACATATCTGTGGGCCCCTTCTGAGGTGGGCCTAGTGGCAGCACCATTGGCACCATAGTAAACCCGGTACTGAATCTGAGACATTTTTCATTTTGATCACACACCTCTGCAAGCCTGTATGTATTGCCATACACAGCTTCCTCAGCCCCCAGTTTTTCTCATTGAGCTGTACTCATGTGGGTTTACCAGTGTCCACAGTGAGCAGAACTTTCATAGTGATCAGGGGAAACTCTCCACAGGGGGAGGGATAGCTCAGTGGTTTGAGCATTGGCCTGCTAAACCTAGGGTTGTGAGTTCAATCCTTGAGGGGGCCATTTAGGGTTTTGGGGTAAAATCAGTACTTGGTCCTGCTAGTGAAGGCAGGGGGCTGGGCTCGATGACCTTTTGGGGTCCCTTCCAGTTCTGTAAGATAGGTATATCTCCATTATTTAGCTCCTTCCTTATTCAGAAGTTCTGTAGTCATGTCACCTGTACCACCCTATTTCACCAGTCACTATATGTGGTCCTGGCCTCAGCTCAACCAAGTTCCACAGCCAGCAGATATCCAATCAGTTATGACAATCCCCTCCCCTGGTGCCCATTCTGCCACTTGAGCAAGCCACTTGCAAACACCATTTCCCCAATCCTGGCTCAGTAAGCAATTAGCCATTGGGACCCTGAAATCACCAGCCTTTCTCCCTTTGCTCTGATTTACATGCTATTCCAATACCTGGTCACCAGCACCTCTCCTCATGTATTTCCCTTCTACCCTGGTTGTGCTCCCCAGTCAGTTGGTCCTATTCTCCCCCTGTAACCCTGACCTTCCTCTTTCCCTGCTCCCTTTCACTTTCCTTTTCTACTGGTGACCTTTGTTCCTTAAGGTTAACTCCAGTTTCTTTCTCTGCTCCTAGCTTAATGGCCCCCAATAGTCACAGAGCCATCTGTAGCTTCTTTGGCTACAGCCATGGGGCCAATTGCCAAAGGCCAGCCTTAGACAGCTGCAGCTTCTAACCGCAGGAGGGTTGGCAATTCCAAGGCTGAGCATGCTTGAACCTTGCGATGGCAGCAGTAGGGACTCTCAATCCTCAGCATTAGCCCTAGGCAACTGCAGTCTGCAGTTAGGTGCTTCCCTACTCCAGGCCATGGCTTTGAGATGCCCATCACCTGCAGCAGAGGCCCCCAGTGTCATCAGACATCACCAGTGTGGTGCTCTGCTCTATCCAATGTTGATAAGTCGGCTGTGTGCGGTCCCAGCTCTGCACAGATAGCTGGCACAGCAGATCTCAAGTGAACCACCCAGTGACCACAGACTCCGCTAAGGTACGAAGGCAGCCGGCCAGGTTTATTGCCAAATGAAACAGTCTGTAGGTCCCCGGATCAGAGATCTACAGTTCTGCTAGTACAGGGGTTCTCAAACGGGGTTGGGACCCCTTGGGGGTTGTGAGGTTATTACATGGGGGGTCACAAGCTGTCAGCCTTCACCCCAAACCCTGCTTTGCCTCCAGCATTTATAATAGTGTTAAATATATAAAAAGTGTTTTTAATTTATAAAGGGGGTTGCACTCAGAGGTTTGCTATGTGAAAGGGGTCACCAGTACAAAAGTTTGATAACCACGGCTAGTACGTATGTGCTCTCTGACAATGGACCGGCTCAGTCAGTGGCGGGATTTACCACTGCCCCGTAGGCCAGACAAAGGCACCTCCTCAGGGGTGCACTTATACACAGGTACAAACAAGTTACACATCACTCCTGATGTATTGAGGTACAACCCCTCTATGTGTTAGGGTGCCACCTCTCACCTGGTACATGTTGGTTTGGACAAAACAACACTATCTATCATATCCTTTTGACCCTGTCTTTGGGATGGGTCAGCATGTTCCTTGTTATCTATGTGGAATGTTCTAGTATCAGTGATCGTGGTGCCATCCTGGCACATGTTTATATCTCTGGTGTCCAGTACCTTTTAGGTATGTGTATTTTTGCAACATCAGCCCTCTCCTTGCCAGACTATGAGCAGGGCCTGCCTCTTGCTCACAGCTTAACTTTGCTTTATGTTAAAGTCTTGACCATTACTTTAGTTCAGGCCTTAGGCTTCATACTGGGCCTCTGATACAAGAGTTTATGTTTCAGGGCCTCCTCTTACTATATTATGCACCCCTCAGCTAGCACATAGTTGTGCAGAAGGTGCAGCCTGGATGATTTTGGAGGCTGGGATGCCAGAAGGTTCCCCATCCCTGAGCAGCTGCTCTGCAACAAACTCACACTGCCCCCCTCTGCAGTGGGACCGGGACCCTGTGAAGACAGTGGAGTTACCCTGTGTATAACCAGTTCCACCCAAAGCCTGTTGAAGTAAGTGGGAGTCTTTTCATTCATTTGTCATGGGCTGCATATAGAGTCTAGAATGAGGTCCTTTGCTTCTAGGAGCACAGTGCATTCTAAAACTATGCTGCACTGGTTTACTATTGTAAACAGGAGGGTCTCACATGACCTACTGAATAATCAACACCCCCAGTCTGAAAATATCAGGTGGTATGGTTACAAGATGTGCACAGAATGCAGGCCTGCTTCCTGCATCGTTGCAAGACTGCAGTAAAGTGGAACAATTTTCAGTTTGTGTGATTGGAGGATATCTGGATCCATATTGTAAGGCTGTCCCACATAATGAGGAAAAGTTGAGGTGCTTTGCTGTTCTTTTGTTCCACTCTTAGTTTCTGTGGAGAACTTGCCAATGCAATATTACTGTCATCTTTTTATGGGAAATAAAACTAAAAAAAATGGTAATGGTTGTCAAAAATAGCAATTCTGGTCCTAGTTAGCATTGGGAAGAGGCCAGCATTTGTTATTAAATTTTATCTTACTTTTTCTACAGCAAATTACAGTTGAGACTTGGGAGAAATGAAGTAACAGAGTGGCCCAAACTGAACCTGAGTATTCCTGAACTTTGAGGATGTTCAAATCTGGAAGGCAGGTGCTAGATTCCCTTTCTGAATATTAGACAAATCTGGAAAGGAAAAGCCAATTTCTGCTTCCATGGCTCAGAAATGGAAATTGAGTCACATCCTCGTGCATGCCTGGTACCTAAAGCTGCCCAGGTCCTCAAGTAGAGCCTCTCTTTCCTTACTTACTATTTTAACTTCTCCTGGTGGGGTGCACATACCTCTGACCCTTGCTAGGCTTCAGGTAAAGGTGCATTGTCTATTCATTCCACCCAATTCCTTTGTTGGGGGCTGCCAGCCAAGGCCACCACTATTGCTAACCCAGTTTGGGGAAGTCTCCTGAGAGCGAGAGCTGGGCCGACGCCTTGTGCATACATGTTCCCCACTCACAGCACCGCTGCCCGCTTCTAGCGGCCGGCTCCCCACTCACCGCAAGCTCAGCGCGTCAGGTCGCACCAGCCGGGCAGCTGCCCCCTCCCTTTCCGGTTGATAGCAGCCAAGGGCATGCTGGGAGATGTAGTTCCTTTGGCTCGCCAGGCAGGGAGCTCGCCAAAGAACTACAGCTGCGGGGTGCCGCGGCCTCCGGGCTCCGGCCTGGATCCGTGCGGGCAGGGGCGTGAGCTGGAGCGTTGGTGCCTGTCTCCTGCCCCAGGGCTGCCCGGGAAGGGTTTGCTCTGGGGCTGTGGTAACCGGGGTACCGCCGAGCTGTAGGTCTTCGCGGGCCCGCGGCTGGCGCGAGCCCCCCTCCCAGCAGCGCTCCTGGGCGAGCCCCGCGCGAACAGCCACGTCCGGGTCAAACGTACAGTCTCCGGCACGGGATGGACTTTTGCGCATGCGCTCTCCCCCGCCCCCCCTCGTGCGCGGGGGGCCGCGGCTGCGGAAACTAACCTCCTGATAGGTCGCGGGCGAAGCTCGCCTTGGGGCCCGGGCTCTGCTTCCGGAGCAGCCGGGAGCTCGGCAGGCCTGGGCCGGAACTCCAGTCCGGGGATCCCTGTCCGGCCCCACCCCCACCGCTGTCTCCTGGCGCGTAGGCGGGGCTAAGCTGGCTGGAAGGGGGGGGGGGGCAGAGATTCGTTGTGTTACGGTAGCGCCCAGAGGTGCTTTTCTGGCTGTTTTTATGCTGTAGCCCAATTCTGTTCCGCAGCTGATGCGGCCGCTGTAGCCATGTGGGCAGCTGATGAAGTTGCTGGTCTGTGCTACACACATTATAGCACCAAGCTGCCTAAGCAGGGGAAGCCGGATCCTAACCGGGAGTGGACGTTACTGGCAGCTGTGGTTAAAGTGGAGTCTGCACCTGAAGGAGAGGCTTGCCTTAATGTTGGGAATCTGCAGGGTGAGAATGAATCTTCTCTCCTCAGTAAATGCCTGTTATGTGATTTTAAAGGTGACCTGTAAAGGAAAAAAATTGTGAGTTTTTTTGCCTAAAAAGTGTTTGAATTCTTTCTCTTACTTTTATCCTAGAAACATCAGGAATGTTAAATATTCTTTTCCTGTTTGGTGGAGATCTCCATTGGAGGACCCTGAGACGTAAAGTGAGATCTTTTGCAAATCTTGTTTGAAAGCACAGGGATGTGATTCTAGCAAAATTATCTTCTCTCAGGAAAAATGGAGTACATAATTATTGCGAGACCCGATCAGATCAGTGGTCTTGCTAGTCCAGTATCCTGTCTCTGACAGTGCCCATTTTCGGCTACTTGACAGGAAGGTCTGTGAAACCCTATAATGAAAAATAATGGCATAATCTGCACAAAGGAAGATGTCCCTTCCTTTCTGTTTATATCACCTGGAGTTTTGTTGTGCCACACATCATTGTATTGTCTGATCACTTCCCATGTAAAATAGACTGGCGATAGCAAAGTTCCTAGTGGGCTTTACAGAGTGTCTTACTCTTCTCCCTTTTGGGCTTTTGAAAACTCTGCAGGGGCCGGCGGTTTGTAATGTGTGTTTTGTGAGTGTGGCAGATAGGAGGGGTTGTTGGTGTTGCGAATATCATTCTTGTCTTGGTGGAAGGGCTCTTTCTGGAGGAAGGTTTTGCAACACTTGTGAAGGGGCTCGAACTCTGCAGTCTTCTGCTGTCTGGAAGTTTGTTCCATAGCCACATCTCCTTGATTGAGACCACTTTGTCCCTGGCTGTCACATGCTTTGTTCTGGACTTTGTGATTTGCATTGGCCCAACTCTCTTGACATTTTACAGTTTGGAATTTGATCTCTAATGTAACTGGTCTTGAGTCATTAATTGGTCCTAATCGTCAAGCAGTCTTAAAACTGGCATTGAAAATGGACTGGGAGCCAGTGGAGGGACAGTGCCATGGGGTTAATGTTCTCATGGCACCCTAAACCATGGAAGAGGTGGACAACCGCACTTTGTATCAGCTGGAGCTGTTGCATTATTCTTACATTCTGCTTCAGACACAGTGAATTACTGTAATCTAGCCTGGAGGTGACAAATGTGTGCATCATTGTGGTCAGATCCTCATCTGAGGGGAAAGGGAGGAGTTACCTAGTAAGCTGGAGGTGAAAAGTGGCATTTTTAGATACTGATGCTACCTGGTCATCCAGGGTTAGTGGGGAGTCTTCACATCACTTTGATGAATGGACATTGTGTGCCTTCAGTGAGAGGGCTCTTCGGTGTTACTCTTCCCCAGCAACTCCACCAGATTTACTAGCCTCACCAGGGTGAGACGGTGTCCCAGCTCATTCTTCAGTCTTTCCCCATTCTGACCAGCATCACTTCCTGTCCCACATTCTAACCCTCATCAGGTAGTGGTTGATTTACATCCTAAAGCATGAGAGATTAGACTGTCATATAATGTGGATGTTATCATTATTCATATTAATGTTTAATCCTCCTAAGCCCTTGGCCTTGGTGACATCTTGTGGCAGAGAGTTCCACATGTCAGTTGTTCAATGTGCACAAGTATTTTATCACTTTTTAAATGTAAAGGAAGGAAAAAGAGAGAACTTTCTCCCAATAGGCAGCTGACCTGCCAGGAAATGTCTGTACCTACTGCGGGCGGATCTGTGGTTCCAGGATTGGACTCCTGAGTCATCTCGGGACCAGTATGTAAATCAGTGGTAGAGATCATCCTTGAATTGAGGGATCACCGATGATGAAATGTACTGCCTTTCGATTTCAGTGAATGGTCCTTGTTCTTGTATTATGAAAGAGCATAAACGAGTCCCCAACTGACCTTCTCTATACCATTAATTGTTTTATATGCATTTATCATATCCCCTCTCTGAATGAAACAGTCCAAGTCTCTTCAATCTCTGCTTATACAGAAGTCTTTCCAGGACTCTAGTCATCCTTGTTGCCTTTCTCTGGAACTCTTCTATTTTGCTGTATCTTTCCTGAGAAGAGGTGACTAGAAATGAACACCATGTTCAGGGTGCTATGAATCGAGATTCGGGCCTTGTTGTGCTGGGTGCTGTAGCAATGCATATGAAGAGATAGACTGCACAGTCTGAGGCAGAAACTAAGAAGACAAGTGACTACAAAGGATGAGGGGACAGGATCACAGTGAAATACATACCATTTTTATGGAGTTTTGCAGCTGTAGGACCTGTTTGGGGAGTGGAAAAAGAGGATCAATTGAAAGAAACCGAAGGAGTGATCTGAGAGGAGAATTGTGAGAGGACAACCACAAAAGCCAAGATGGTGAGATTTCAAAGAGTGTTACAGAATTACAGGCTCTGGGTTTGGGCCAAGAAAAGGCAATAGAAATCTTGGGGAGAGCAGTTTCATTGGAGCTGAGGGGATAGAAGTCAGACTGGAGGGGGGTCCAAGATGGAGCTGCAGAAGAGGAACTCTAGACAGTGGTTGCACATGGTATGTTCTCAAATTTGGAGGTGAAGGGGAGAAGGAGATAGGGTGGGCAATATTTGGAGAGGCAGGTGGGGTTGAGGGATGGCACTTTCAGCATTCTCATGTTGTGAGGGGAAGGGGTCAGAGGCGAGTGAGATTAAAGAGGAGTGTGAGGGAGGGATGAGGGGGCAAAGGAGGTCATGAGGCAGGAGGGGGATGGATGTGGTCACTGCTGCATGTGGACGGTTTAGAGGAGGAGAGCAAGTGACAAACCTCTGTCAGTGATGAGGGAAAATATGGAGAAAGGAGATACAAAGATTTTGTGGTAGATTTTTGTCAATTTATTTGAAAGAGCAAAATTTTGCGTAGAGAGGATGAGGGAAGGAGGGTTTAAGGAAGGTGTCAGACATAGTGACTTGGCAGCTGGGATTGTGGATGTGGCCAGGTCACCACTCTCCCCTTTCTCCAGATCATTGTTAGATATATTTTAACACTAGTCTTAATATGGATCCTTGGTGCAACTGCTGTTAGCCACTTAATCATGGGAAGTGGTTGGTTATTTCTGCTTTGTTTCCTGTCTTAGACGGTTTTTGATCCATGACAAAAATTTACCACTCTCCCCATGTTGCTTATAATTTATTGGGACTTTCATTAATGACCTATCAACATGTTCTCCTGTATCCTCTGTTTTCTTGACATGCTCAAAGATTGAAGAGGCACAGTTTTCCTTTACAGAAGCTGTGCTTGTTTGTCCCTATAGTATCCTCTCTATCTTGGGGTTGCATAAGTCTGTAGTTATCACTTCAGCTGCTTTACATAGTACTAAAGTAAAACTTGCTGGTCTATAATTCCCAGGATCACTCTTAGTGCTGGACAGAAAGACGTTTGCTACTTTCCAGTCCCCTGGCATAATAATTGATTTTAAATGAGTGCATATTTTTTGGTAGTAGCTCATCCACTTCATCCTTAAGCTCCTTCTGAACTCCTGGATGTACGTGCTGCTGGTTAATTTATCAGTGTCTCCTTTGACACCACAGTCTCTGATGATGCCACATTTACCTTTTCTGTGATGTCCTTGTCCTCTGTAATTGCTTAATCTGGTGATTCAGTGGAACCACCAGGTTTTTGTGGGCTTCGTATTTCTGATGTACTTAAATTATGTCTTTGGCTATTTGTTCTTCCAGTTCTGTCTTAATTAAAGTGGAAGTTACAGAAGTGATTACATGCTGTAGTTTATGTCTCGCTTGGGCTGGATTTCCATTTTCTGATGGATGCTTGCTTTGATTTGCATAACTTCTTGAACCTTGCCAGTTAACCATAATGGCTTAATTTTTTGCTTTCCAGCTTCTTTTTTGTTTGGGGCATACATGTCTTCTGTATCCCTCTTTCTAGTTTTTTATATTCTTCCCATGATAATATTGAAGAAATTATCTCCTGATCACTTTTGCTTCAATTCCTCAGCTACAGTTACTTCCTGAACCAACTCCTTACACATTACTCCTACACATAGCCTCTCCTCTGTGCACTTGGAGTTAGCTGTTCCAAGAAGCAATCATTTAAGCTGTTGAAAAATTGCAGTTTAAGTTTTCCGAAGTGGGTAATGATTTTTTTTGAGTGCACAACTTGATGCATCTTAGAGGTGCCTGCTTTTCAGACAGTGCTGAGCACTCACCCTTTTAAAGTGTCTCTGGGCATCCAAAATCGCTAGTCACTTAGCAAATGTAGACCTTCTCTACCATGTGTTCTGATGTGAAACTGACCAATTAGCATGCAGTGAAATAGGCAAGACCTGAATTTCTGAGTAAAAAAAACCAAACCCACACTTTGACATTCTTCATAAGAATCCAAAAAAGGATACTAACACAATTTTTTTTTCTTAGCAAGTCTCCTTTAAAAGGGGGTAAGGGTAAACCTGCCGCATCAGCATCTCCTTTGTGCTATGCATTGTATGGTGCATTTCCCTTATGTCGTCTTCCCTATTTGGGGGTCCCTGAATTGGTGGTCACCTTGTGTTGTCTGTGTGTAGGACCTCATGTCAGTGCTGCCCTCTTCCCTTGCCACATGCCATGTCTTTCCCCCTACACTGGTGCTGTGCCTGGTACGTGACTTTCCTCATCTCAGTGTGCGTCTGGTAGTCTGGTACATAGTCTCCCCCTCCAGTGGGGGGTGTGTGTGTGTGTGAGAGACAGGTGTTACTTCATCCCTCCTCTTGTACCTTGTCTCGTGTGGTGCCCCCAAGTGCTGTCTGATTGAAATGATCAAATTAGGGTGATTCTTTTAGAAGTGGTTCAGCTAACTTTAGTATTTTCTTTTTCAGTAACTAAGGAAGTTGTTGCTATGGGGACTGGAACTAAGTGCATTGGCCATACAAGAATGAGGAAAACTGGTAAGTATGGTGTAGAAACCAAGACTACCGATCTTGGCCTCTTCATTACTTGTCATTGGCATGAGCTCAGCCTCCTGAAATGCAACAACAGTACAAGACAAAGTCCCAACCCTATAGGGTTGGGTAGACAGCATTACCATCTAGGTTTGCTGCACTGAGCTCCTACTATCCGCAGCCCTTAAGAGGAACTGACAAAAGCCATATAAATGGACATTGTCAGGTAGCGTAGGTCCCAAATGTACTCGTGTTTACAAAAACAACAAAAAAGGCAAATCTTGTTTTCTAGTCTGATTCCTTCAGAGCCTATTGTGAAAAACACCACAGTAACCAAGCTCCAGAAAAGTGAGAGAAACCCCCTCTTATTTATCTGTAATCAGCAGCTAGATACTGCACTGATTTCTCTATAAGTAACTGAGAGCTGCTGTGAGAAGTTATTCATCCTGTCTCCTCCCTTACTATGCATATTCATAACAGAGGAGGACCAGACTGCACTTGGCTACTCCTCCTCGGAGAGTGGAGGGGCCACAGAGACTCATGTCAGGAAGTATCCTGGGCAGGAGACATGGCCAAGAGCCTTTCAATACAAGGCTCTTTACCTCTACCTCTGGATTCTGGGGAAGACAGAGTATAGCAAGAGAAGAGAGCAGGTCTGGCAAAGCTGTTTCTGTGCTCTATAGGGCATTTTGCGTATAAACACATTTTAAAGCCTTTTTATTTTTTGCCTTGCACTAAATGCTATGTCTTGGATTGCTTATTATGGATCTTTCTGGGGTCAGCACCCCAGAATGTAATATTGATCTGGGTGGTTTCATTATTTATTTTTAAATTTTAAATAAAAACAATTTTTAACTTAATTTTTTTTATTCCATTGATTGCAACCAATATGATGTCTTGTAAGATCTAAAGGGTAACATTTACCAGACATATGAGTGAAATTGAGTAGGTTTTTTCATCATCTAAGTTGAGTGCAATGAAACTTAAACAAAGAGTGCCACTGTTGAAAAGTCAACTAGATTTTAAAATTAAATTTTGCTTTAATAATCTCGAGTAGCATTGGTAACCTGACAAATCTATTAAGAGAATAGGGAAAGTTTCTTTGGTGCTATTAGCAATCTCAAAAACCTATACGTCTAAGGCAAAAAGACAACTAGAATGTATATGCATTTTGTGATATTTAAGTTTAATAATTTAATAAAGTGCATTTAAAATAAAGTGCAAGAGATTACAGTGAAATGCATTATACAGTACAGTGATGAAAGTGCATATGATTGCATTAAAATGTAAAGAAAGCAAGGATATGTGCATTACATAGATATGTGATTGGCAGAAAGGACATTTCTGAGAAGCTAAATGGTTTCTTTGCATCATTCTTTGCCTTCAAAAACGAGATTCCTACCCCACATCTGCTGTTTCCTGGTAACAAAGCGGAGGTAGTCTCAGATCTTGAGATGACCGGAGAAGAGATGCTAGAGCAAATCAGTAATATTAAATGCAGTAAGTCACTAGGCCCAGATGGTCCGTCATCAAGTTCTGAAGGAGCTCAAATATGAAGTATCTGAACTGCTCACAAAAATATGCAATCTTTCATTAAAAACAGCTACTGTTCAAGAGACTTGGAGGGTAGCAAATGTTGTCCTTTCGAAAAGGCTCTAGGGTAGGGGTTCTCAACCTTTTTCTTTCTGAGCCCCCCCTCAACATGCTATAAAAATTTCAGGGCCCAGCGAGGGAGGTGGGGGACTTGGGGCTCTGGGCCGGGAGTGGGCCCTTGGGCATAGGCATAGTTTGACTTCTATTTTGGGGGGGCAGGGGCTGGCAGGGCTTGGCCAGCTCTGCACGGTGGGGTCCAGGAAGGCAGTGCCACCTCTACCCCCTGACTCACCTCAGCCGGCCACCCAGCCTGTCTGGGTTGTGTGTGGTGGGGTTTCAGCTCAAAAAGTTTGAAAACCACTCAGGGTGCAGGGAGGGGGTAGCTAGGGGCTGGGTGCAGGCAGAGGGGTAGTTCAGGATGCAGGCAGGGGGGTAGTTAGGGGCTGTGTGCGGGCAGGGGGTAGCAAGGGGCTGTGTGCGGGCAGGGGGGTAGCGCAGGGTTGCAGTGAGGGGGTGACTAGGGGCTGTGTGCCAGGAGGGCTCCCCTGTGGTCACTGCTCCCCAAGGGCTCTGCTGGCCACGGAGAGGGTCCCCCTGCCTGGGTGGCTCTTACCAGCTGCTTGAGCTGAGGAGCAGCACCAACCCCGGGCACCAGCAACAGCGACAGATGGGTGAATGCTGTGGCTGCCTGCTCCATGGTACCAGCCAGAGCAGTAGCTGCCCACACTGCCCGATTCCAGCTTCCCGCCTCTGACCTGGCCAGGGAGTGGGGCCTCAGGGGCGGGGAGAGGAAGAGGGATATATGTGGAGCTGCTCCTGGGACTACCCCACTCTGGCACTGCAGTGGGGGTGGCTGGGTGGGAACCAGTGCTCAGGGTTTCAGCCCCACAGTTCAGGGTTTCAGCCCTGTGGTGGGGGGCGCAGGGGCACGGGGTTTCAGCCCTGCGGCAGGAGGCACTGGGGCTCGGGCTCTGGGTTTCAGTCGCGGGGTCCCGCGGTCCCCCTGAAAGGGCTCATGTACCCCCATGGGGCCATGGACCCCCCGGTTGAGAACCACTGCTCTACGGGTAATTTGGGGCAATACAGACCAATTAACTTTACATCTATACCTGGCAAATTAGTTCTGTTTTTAAATTTTTGATTCAACCAACAAAACACCTAGAAGATCATGATATAATAGGGTCTAACCAGCATGGATTCTGCAGAGGAAAATCATCTCATTAATCTCTTAGAATTTCTTGAACATATCAATAAAGTAATGGATAAAGGGGAAATGGTTGGCCTAATTTATTTAGCCTTTCAAAAGGGTCCCTCACTAGAGGCTATTAAAGAAGCTAAGTAGTCATGGTGTGAGAGGCAAAGTATTGTCATGGATCAAAAACTGTCTAGGAGACAGAAAGGAAAAAAGGACTAAATGGTCAGTTTTCATCATTGAAAAAGGTTAACAGTGGGGCCTCAAGATTCTGTACTAGGTCCCATGTTTAATATTAAATGATCTCAAAACTAGGTGAGTGCTGCGGTAGCAAAATTTGGGAATATCTGGGGATCACTGTAGACTGCTTAGACACCTCTGCATCAAAAAAGCAAACAAGGTTCAGATGCATGAGGAATGGCATGGAGAATACCAAAAATAGTATTCCTTTATATAAATCGGTGATGCGACCTGTGCAGTACTGGGTCCCCCCTCCCAATATTTCAGAATGGGAGGGGTTTCAGAGAAGAGCAAACATGATGAAGGCCCTGGAAAAGTCACATGAAGAGAGATTGAAAAGATTGGTATTGTTTACCTTAGAGAGGAGATGATTAAGAGGGGACATGATAAAAGTACATAAAATAATGAATGGTCTATACAAGGAAGAGCAGGAGCTTCTGTTCTCCTTGTCTAATAACAAGAACAAAGGGACATTCAATGAAATCAAAAGGTGGGAAATTAATAACTCATAAAAGGAAACACACTTTCACACAATGTGCAATTACACTGTGGAAGTCAATGCTGCAAGGAGTAATTTGAAGTCAAGAACTTTAGATTTAAAAAGGGATTGGACATCTATATGGATATCAAGACCTATCCAGAGGTCATATTCTAAAATTAATTATGCCTAATTTTGGAAAAGTTATTCAACCTTGTGGTTCAGGCCTTAAGTCAATCTCTAACTAGTAAAGACCAGGATGAGATCTACGTGGGGGAGAGATTACCAATATTTGTCTACTGCAGGGCTCTTCCACCTTCATTTGAAACAGCTAGTTCTGGCCCCTGAGAGAGAGAGAATACTGGACTAGATAGACTTTGGTCTGGTCCATTGTGGAAATTTCCATGTTCCTAATACATGGGTAAAATCTTTACAATTTTTGATTCTGAAACAGGAAATTAATTAGACTCACCTATAGATATTTCACTGTAACATTTGTAGTAACTCAAATTTATTTCTGTACATTAATATTTCCAGCACTTTTCTGTTCCTAGAAATGGGTGGAGGCTTTCTGATTGTCTAAAGCTTTCTATGATTGAATTTTTGTAGACAAGGGTCATCATCCTCTGAATCAGACACACAAAGTTCCTCCTGCACTTATTTAATCAGAAGAAATTTTGCTTGTAACAGGCAAAACGCATTCAAATTAGTAAATATTTCAGTTCTCTTCAGTAAATATATCCCAGATCTATTAGCAGCCTTTAGTATATTAACAAGGGCTCATTATCAAATTTCAAAACATCACCAATTTTCATATTCGAACCTATCGACACTGAATGTTACCTTCTCTAACATTAGCAGAGGAGCATTCTAACTTTTATTTACGTTGCTAACAGATGATCCAACCAGCCTCTGCTGTTTTTAAAACCTTCCTGAAGCATTAGCTCTGAGAATTCCTTGGCTTTTGTCTGGAATGCTGTGTTTTTTAGTGTCTTACCTGTGGGCTGTGTTTTTTTTTGTTTTTTTTTTTTTAAAAGAAGGAGGGCAGTTAAGGAGTTCACTGAAGATACAGCTCTGCAATCCTAAATGCTTTGGGAAGTTCATTTCCAGTGGGCCCACATCCAGTGTGGTGAATAAATTCTTTGTTTTCCAGTGTGCACACCCATATACTCCCCATCACTGTTATACATGCCTGCTCTGAATGCTGTGGAATGAGATCATTACAGGTCTCCCATTCAAGTACTGTCCCAGTCCTGCTTTCCTTGTAGGATCTGACTGGATCATAGCCCAAAGAGGTGATGGTCCTTTGGGTTGGTAGTGTGCGGCAAGAGTCACTGCACCATGGTGCAGGAGTGTGACAGTAAGCATTTATGGTAAGTGAGTTGTTGAAATTCCTTAGGATAGCCTAGTTCAGACAACTGAACTAATACTAGTGTCAGACCCACAAAATCCTGGGGCAGGGCTGGCAGACTGCACAAGTCTACCTCTACTTGTTGTTGCATGTGACTTTTTCCTTCTGTCTGGTCCATAGTAATGTTGGATTATTTAATTTTTTTGGATGCTGCTGCAGGGGATATTCTCAACGACAGTCATGCTGAAGTCATTGCCAAGAGGAGTTTCCAGAGGTGAGACATTAAACCCCTTGTGGTGTTATCTGTTCAGTGGTCTGTTTGGTCATATCCACTTTCCTCAGGACGTTTACGCTATTGTAATGTAAATGCATGTGTCCTTCACCTGTAAGATTTGGAACACAGCCCCTTTCCCCTCTCCAATGAGCTAAGCTGTGCAAGAAGAGAATGGAAGAGGCTAGCACCTCCCATGTTCCTTCCACAGGCAATATGTTTCTGTCCTGTGCACAGGTCTGTTTTTTTCCCCTTCGGGGCCCCTCTCCTGTCCTACACACCCAGGCTTCTTCCTGCCCATTGTATACAGACTTTGCAAAAATAACTCTTCACATGGGGCTGATTCCAGGTCCTTTGGGCTCACTATGAAGCTTCTGATCAGACAGCAGGTGTCCTTGTGGAGACTTTTGGATCACATCTGCCTACAGAAGACTAACCAGCCACTTGACTCACTGTAGTGCACTTCAGTGTCAACTGGCTAGAGGTTTGTGGGTAGAGCCCTGCAAATCCGCAGATATCTGTGAACCATTTTTTGCGGATTGTGGATGGATGCAGATCCAAATTTTATATATTTAAAGCCCTGCAAATCTACGGATATCCACAGATCACTTTTGTGGATCATGGATTGGATGTGGATACAAATTTTGTATTAGTGCAGGGCTCCATTTGTGGGCCTTAATTTAATTATGTTTACTTCTTCCTCTCCTAAGTTAAGGGAGTGATTCTCAGTAAATCCTTCTTGCCCTCCAGGTATCTCGTCTACCAGCTGTGGCTGGCAGCCTCACACCAACAGGGCAGCATCTTCAGCCCAGGGACTGAGATTGGGAAATGGAAACTCAAACCACACATCACCTTTATTTTTTTCTGCAGCCATACCCCCTGTAAGTACATAAGAGCCAATCCCTCATGCTCTCATCCCTGCCTGGTGCATGTGAGCCAGCTACCCCAACCATGGCTGAGAGAGGGTGAGCCAGCCTCCTTCATATCAGTAACATATGCAGTGGATCAGCATTGACCTGGCAAATTGGTGCGCTGCACTTTCTACCCTATTGGGTTTATTGATGTGGGAAGGGAGCATACGTATAAGCCAGTACCTGGCTCAGTACATACAAGTGCTTCAGTCTCCCCTGATTAGATAGAGACATGGGCCACCATTTTCTTGCCCCGAAACTAGCATCTGCCAGTGGTCCTGTCATACTAAAAGCCTGTCATTTTTCCTGGTTGCTTTGCTTTACCTGCCTACTCACCTCTCATAGGGAGCCCAAGTACGTTTATTATACTCTGTGGGCTAAATATAATTATTTTATTCCCTAATCCCCAAAAAATCCAAAAAATTAGGATTTTTTTATAAAATGAAATCCAAAACCCATGCTGTATGACTTGCTTCACAGCAGATTTATTCCCCCAACATAAATAGATGCAGTGTCCAAAATGACACTGTTGCAATTCTATAAGCAAAACCCAAGAACATGAGTCCCCAACCTATTAAGTAGTTAGGCCTATTGATGTTTCATATGTGCTGTGACAAAGTTCCTCCTCTATCTTGGTGGGTCCTGCGCTTATTGGCGGATTTTCTTGCTTCAGAGATTCACCATGTGGGTTTTGGGAACAGCCCAGAGACCTTCCCCTCTGGAAGAACCCACAGTCCAGGTCAATTGGGAGGTTTGGGGGGAACCCGGGCCCGCCCTCTACTCCAGGTTCCAGCCCAGGGCCCTGTGGACTGCAGCTGTCTATAGTGCCTCCTGTAACAGCTGCATGACAGCTACAACTCCCTGGGCTACTTCCCCATGGCCTCCTCCAAACACCTTCCTTATTCTCACCACAGGACCTTCCTCCTGGTATCTTATAACACTTGTGCTCCTCAGTCCTCCAACAGCACACCCTCTCACTCTCAGCTCCTTGCGCCTCTTGCTCCCAGCTCCTCACACTCACACCACAAACTGAAGTGAGCTCCTTTTTAAAACCCAGGTGCCCTGATTAGCCTGCCTTAATTGATTCTAGCAGCTTCTTCTTAATTGGCTCCAGGTGTCCTAATTAGCCTGCCTGCCTTAACTGGTTCTAGTAGGTTCCTGATTACTCTAGTGCATCCCCTGCTCTGGTCACTCAGGGAACAGAAAACTACTCATCCAGTGACCAGTATATTTGCCCTCTACCAGACTCCTGTACCCCACTGGTCTGGGTCTGTCACAGTGCCCTTAGATACAGATACACTTTTGTCCCAGGTTTGCTTTTTCAACACTGACCCTACTACAAAGGTTTCACTAAAACATTCCAAATACGCTGAAACATACTTGACTGAGAAGGAACTGGCATGGTCAGAGTGCAGGCCTTCTAAAAAGCAACAAACTGTGAATTTACATCCATGATTTTCCACCATTTTGATTCAACAAACTGATCCAGTCTTCTTCACTAACATAGATTTGGGACAGGAATCTGGATCTTCAAATCTAAGTGCGGGAAGAGAAGGAAGAGTACTCAGGGTTATGTTCTGTCAGCTGTGTATCAGCCCCTTCCTGTTCTAGGTGTAACCCGGAGTGCCTGGGGTAGCCCTCGCTGAAAATGCTAAGATCAGGGTAGACTGCAAAAAGGAGAGCAGATTCTCTCAAAACTGGTGGTTAACACTAAAATTAGACTTACCAACCAGTCACAAACTGTGCTCCTGTTTCCCCCACTCTGGTTATCAAGAAGCTAAAAAGAAATCACACAGCCCACTTTATTGCATTCCAGTTCTCTGGCTCCCAATCACATAGGTCCAATACAGTGAGAAGTTATTTAAAAACTCTGTTTACTATACAGAATGTTCTTCTGACCCCAAAGAGCCAGCCACACTACGAGGTCAATATTAGTGCTGCCAGCCAATCCTTTAGTGTCTAAAACTAAAGGTTTATTAGAAAAGAACAAAAAGAGTCGTTAAATGGTCAATCATATAAATATATATATTTATATTTAGAGAGAGAGAGAGAGACTTCAAAGTCCATATACCAGGTTCTTAGCAGTATTGGTGAGTTTGCTGGCTTGAAAGTCCCTCTGAACACATCCATCAGTCCTTTGTTCAGAGCTTCAGTTTGTAGAAAAGTTGCTTCGGAGGTAAGAAGCAGGATTGAAGACAAAATGGAGAAGATGCAGCTGCCCTTTATATTTCTTTTGCCATTTGGCTTGTACTTCCTGTGTCCCAAACACAAGTTTCACAGCACATAGCATGGAAAAGCCTTAAGGCACATCTACGCTGGCAAAGTTAGATCACCGCTCAGAGAGCGCTGAAGGGAAACCACTGTTGTGTGTTTGCACTGTCAGCTGCCTGCGCAATAGCGTGTTCACACTTGCAGCAGTATTCGGAGCAGTGCACTCTGGGCAGCTATCCCACAGAGCACCTTTCTCTTCAGCCACTAAGACTTGTGGGAAGGTGGAGGGGGTCGCCGGGCATCCTGGGTCCTGTCCCAATGACCCGTGATGCATTGCTTCGCATCCTAGAAATCCCTGTGCTTCCATCCGCATTTGCTGCCATCTTTCAACAGTTTGTTTACTGCGTGCCCTGCCTTTTCGGGCTGCAGGAATGGATCCCGAACTGTTGACCAGTATGCTGCTCGCTCTAACATATCACGAGTGGCAGTGGAGTTATTTCTTAAACTGCAAAGGCAAGAGGAGTGCGATATTGATCTCGCCACGCATACTAGCTATGACACGAGATTGCTTGTGACATTCACAGAGGTGCTGACCACAGTGGAATGCCGCTTTTGGGCTCGGGAAACAAGCACTGAGTGGTGGGATCACATTGTCATGCACGTCTGGGATGAGGAGCAGTGGCTGCAGAACTTTTGGATGAGGAAAGCCACATTCATGGGACTGTGTGATGAGCTTACTCCAGCCCTGCGGCGCAAGGGCACGAGAATGAGAGCTGCCTTGTTGTTGGAGAAGCGTGTGGCAATTGCACTGTGGAAGCTGGCACTCCAGACTGCTACCGATCGGGCGGTAACCAGTTCGGAATGGGAAAGTCAACCCTGGACTCATGTTGATGGAAGTATGCAGGGCCATTAATCGCATCCTGCTCCGAAAGACCGTGACTCTGGGCAACGTGCGTGACATTGTGGATGGCTTTGCATAAATGGGCTTCCCTAACGGCGGAGGGGCGATAGATGGCACACACATTCCAATCTGGCACCAGACCACCTAGCCACCAAGTATATTAATCAGAAGAGGTATTTCTCAGTGGTTCTCCAGGCGCATGTGAATCACCATGTGCATTTCACAGACATTAACGCAGTCAGGAAAGATGCATGACGCACGCATCTTTCAGAACACTGGCCTGCTCAAGAAGCTGCAATCGAGGACTTTCTTCCCGGACCAAAAGATCACCGTAGGGGAAGTTGAAATGCCCATTGTGATCCTGGGAGACCTCACCTACCCCTTAATGCTGTGGCTTATGAAGCCAAACACGGGGCAACTTGACAGCAGCAAGGAGCGTTTCAACAACAGGCTGAGCAAGTGCAGAATGACTGAGTGTGCTTTTGGCTGTTTAAAAGCCCGCAGGCGCTGCCTCTATGGGAAGCTGGACCTGGCTGATGACAATATTCCTATGGTTACAGCCGCGTGCTGTACGTTCCATAATATTTGTGAAGGGAAGGGTGAAAGCTTCAGTCAGGGCTGGACCGCAGCGGCTCAGCACCTGAAGGCTGAGTTTGAACAGCCAGAGACCAGGGCACAGCGTGGGGCCATAAGGATCAGGGATGCCTTGAGGCAGCGATTTGAAGCTGAAAGCCACTAATATTTGTTGCTGTGATGGGGATTGCAGTGCTTGTAATGCTAGGAGGTGATTGGTGCACATGATGCAATAAGGGGATTTAACATAATTGTATGTTGCTTTGCAGAGCTCTTTTTGCTTTCAATTAATAGAATAAAGATTGCTTTCAAACCTACACAATTCTTTTATTAAAAGACAACAAACGGAGGAGAGAGTCAAATGAAAAAATACATCAGCATGGAGGAGGGTGGGGGAAGGGAAGGTCCCAGGAGGAGGAGGGGACCCGGGATGGCTAAAGCTTTGTGTATGTCCAGGGATCATATCCGGCCTTCTCCTTTGGAGTACAATGCAGTGGGTACTGTACTTCAGCAGGGCCAAACTGCAGAGGGATGGGTGTTGAGTGCAGTGGGTAGCGGGAGTCCACACTGCTGGACTGTGAGGAGGGAGGAGTGGAATGCTGCGGGTAGAGAGTGGAGCCCGGAGGTTGATAAGAGTGTGTTGGCGTTGTCTGTGGGGTACATGGGAAAGAGTTTTGTGAGCGCGGCCGCAGGGGAGGGCGGGCGCGTTGCTGCTCAGTTTGAAGAGCTAGTGTTGCCTGGAGTGTGTCTGCTTGGTGCTCCATAATGTTTAAGAGCTGTTCCATGGCTTCTTTCTGACGAGCTGCGTTGTCCTTTCGGTCCCACATCTCGCTGTCCCGCCACTCCTTCAATTCCCATTTCTCGGCAGCTGAGTGCATCATAACATCACACAGAAAGTCCTACTTAGTTCTTCTTGGCCGCTTTCTAATTCTGCACAGCCGTTCTGCCGCCGATAACAGGGAGGCTGGGCTCCCAAGGTCATCTCTGTGAAGTTTTAATGCAACATTTTACAGAAGCGGTATTGTTTGCAACACACACAACACTGATTCAGTGCTTTAAAACACAGCCAGTACTCTCACACCTATCACTAACTGGTTGACTCCAGGCAAGCACACATGAGCCACAAGACCCTCAAAATGGTGAGTAGCCACAGGGGCAGGGTAAATCACTCTTCCCGGCCCCTGCTGGAAAATGGACACGTGGCTCGGGCACTTGGGGAGACCCAGCACTATAGGGGGGGCCTGATAATCATTCCTGTCCCCACACTTTCAACAGGATGTGATCA